CACAAACTCAACTCAAAGTGTATCACAGACCTAGGAATTATAGCAGAAACTGTGCACCTGATAGAAGATGTAGGCCTAACACACCAGCATGTTGACATGAGAACTGACTTCCTTAACAATACTCCCAAAGCACAATAAATAAAATAAAAAATCAATATGAGGGATGGCATCAAAGTAAAAAGCTTCTTCACAGCATGGGAAACATTTAAGAGTATGGAGAGAGAGCCTATAAAATAGGACAAGATCCTTGCCACTGACTCCTCATAGAGGGAATTAATATTCAGAATTCACAAAGACTCAAAAAACTTGACGCCAAAAAAACCAATAACTCAATAAATGGCCAAAAGAACTAAACAGACACTTCTCAAAAGAAGAAATACAAATGGCCAACAAATACAAATACATGAAAAAATGTTCACCATCTCTAGCAATTAGGAATATGCAAATCAAAACTACATTGAGATTTCACTTCACTCCTATCAGAATGACATTGAGATTTCATTTCACTCTTATCAGAATGATCAAGAATATAAATTAGGGCTGGGGCTGTAGCTCAGCAGCAGAGTGCGTGCCTAGCTTACATGAGGCACATGGTTCAACCTCAGCACCACATAAAAATAAACAAATAACATAAAGGTATTGTGTCCATCTACAACTACAGAAAAAAAATCTTAAAAAGAATATTAATTACTTTTTTGAGGGGATATAGGGAGAACTTGATTTTACAAAAAGATGGTAACTGTGTCGCATGGATTGGTAAGGTTCAGTTAAGGATATATACAGAAGTTCTGTGCCTGGAGAACACAAGATACCTAGATGTTAGCTTCCTTTGGGGAATGCCACCTTTTCTCCATTCCCCACCAAGAGAGGAAGATTAACTTGTCATTTATTGTCGTTTAATATAATTTTTAACCTTGCCCACTCTGCCTTACACACACACACACGCATCACTGGTTACACACAATATTTTTAATGTGATCCATAACACAGTAAATTAATCCATGTTATCTTTGTTAAGCATTAAAGAAAAAAAAGGGGGTCCTAGCTTTGAGATCACTTTAACTTCCTCCCTTGCCCTCCTCTCCTCTCCTTTCTTGTCCTTTTTTTCTGGAGGAAAGGTCTTGCTGTTGTTGCCCAGGCTAGTAGTCTGGAACTTCTGATCTCAAGCCATTTCTCCCACCTCAGCCTCCAGAGTAACTGGGACTACAAGTGTGCACCTCTGCACCCAGGAACATGTTCATTTTATTTTTCATCAAGTCTGGGAGTCTGGATATTCAGAGATGGCTGGGCAAGACAGCAGTGTGAATGCAGACAGTGGGGCAAAGAGGAAGCAAAAGGACTGGGCTGGGTGTGCCACTGAAGCTCTTCAAGACAGAAATCTGCTTAGAGCAGCTCCCTGGAGAAGGGTTTTAGGTTTGTTCTCTCCACTGATTTCCTCCCTTGCTCCCATTCTCCACCCACACTCCCTGTGAGTGAAGAAATATCTGTGTCAGTGCCAACACCTTCTAAATTCGGCTACATGGAAAGAATCTGTTTGATATAACATCTACCTTTTTTTAAGATAACCAAATTCAAAGAGCAGCTTTAAGCTCCTTCTAAACTAACCTCTCCCTTCTAGGATATTTTATATGTGAATACAATGATGTTAAAAATTAAAAAAAAAAAAAACAACAACAACATGTACCAGCTGCTACCAAAAAAAAAAAAAAAACCAACCTTCAAGTTTGCTGAGACTACTCAAAAGAATAAAGAATGAAATGCACAGTTCTGACATCTATTTATTCTGGGGATGATATTTTTCACTCAGGTCTTCTTTCATGTTCACCGAAAGCATTTCATTTTGCTTTCTCACTCTCCTGCCTTCAGCAGAATGCAACACTATTATGAGCACTAGTTTCTGTTATTACAATTGAGGGAGGGAAATAATGATAAATGAATGATGCAGTGGAAGAAATAATCAAAATTTTTTTATAGTGAAAGACTTTTTCTTTATAATCTGCTTCTTCTTTTAATATCTTCTCCACCTTCACCCTTGATCCTTTTCTTCAAATTCTTACTCCTAGCTTCCCAATCTTACTTTACCATTGAGCCTAACTTTCATCTAATTATCAGGACTTCTTAATCCATAATCTTCCTCTCCAACCATTTCCACCATTATCTCTCTCAATTCCATGTCTCTTTCTCTTATCCTTCAGCACTCCAGAATTTAGTGAAAAATGCACTTCTTTTTGATGATCTCTCACTGAAAATACACAAATCATGTAACTTTTTTATTCTTAAACGTATATCTTAATGATACACCCAGGTGATACCAATCTTGACACGTTACTATTAAATCATGAAACAGAAAGAATGACCTTGACCACTTCAGCATCAGAGTTTGTTAAGCAGAAATAGGAAGGGGAGGCCCTCAGAAAGAGGTAAAGAGAACCATGTTAGAAGGAAAAGGCAATAATATGTGGGTGGATATGCATACCTACAGGCTTGCCAGGGGGAGCATGGCATCACTGCCAAGGGAAGGTAATGTGTGTTGAATGCAAACAAGGGGGCCCCACCCAAAACCTACTAAATTTGAAACTCTGGAGGAGGGCACAAAAACCTGTTTTACAAAGGCTCCAGGAAATCTTACTGGCATGCTCAAGTTCAGAGACATTGCACTTGCCCACCACTTGCCCACTGTTATTAAGAAAAAAAAAATTAACTATCTCATTGAACCTGTTAGTTATGTTTAGCAGAAAAACTCTCAAGGTTAATATTTAAGTTAATTGCAGGGTTCTCTCATCCATGCATTAAACATGTGTTAAATGTCTGGTTTTTGCAGAGTAGTAATGTTGAGCGAGATAGAGAATTAGGCAGACAGTAGATCCCAAAGTTAAACAAGTACACAGGTATTAGAGTTTAACAGAAATGGAAGATGGGATTTAGATGCTAACTATGCAGGAAAAGCCCTCAATGCAATGAGTGGGGGGATGGGGTGGGGAGATACTCTGGAAGGCAGGAGTTGGACCTAATCACATAGGAAAGGTGAAAGCTTTAACTCTTGATATAAATTTTCAGTAAGGTATAGCAAAACTAAAATTGTAGCTCATCCATCTAAAAAAGGTTTGCTGGGTTTGGGAAATGGTTTAATGATTATACTCAAGGTGAGAAAAACTGGAAGTGAGTAAATAATAGACAAACAAGTGATTGCCAAAAGAGGGAATGGTACTGACCTTGATTCAAGGGTATCCCTGTGTCCTGGATTTTGCATCAGCCTTAGCACTAGCAGTAAGATGACTGAAGGTCAAGTTCCCTTTTAAGTCATACTTTATATATCCAAAGCTACCTGCAATTACCCAAATGCCTTCTAAGAATAATTGATTTGATGATGTGATCCAGTTCTAAATCATTCCTTCTTACAAAAGATTAGTTCTGAATTTTCTCGAATTGGATGCAGGAAAGGGATAAGCCATAAGGTGAGCTGGGAGTTCTGAGCATGCAGGGTGATCGCACACCATGTGCAAGACAGAGTACTATCAAGCTTTGAGCTATTATTCAAAGTGTTACTAAGAAAACTTCCGTCTTCCCGTTCCAGGAAAAGGTTCCTGAGGTTTACTTAAGTGACCAAGGTATAAGTCACCCTCCTGGACCTGGCGTTCTGGTCCAGTAATTGGCTCCTAGTTACTCCAGACACGAATCCCACAGGACCGTGGGCTCACAGAATGGGACAGACAGTGCACAGGGCAAAAACACATCAACCGCTGTTGACACTGTCTCCAGATACCAACCACTTGGTGGGGAATTGTCAGTTAAGGGTTGAGGTTTTCAAAGAGGTTTGAAAACAAAAAATGTTAATAATCCAGATCCCAGAAATCTCCAAAGAAGTGGCATCTGCGCCCGCAGATGATATGCGAGTCTCAGCCAGACCTCAACTGGATTCCCGGCTTGGCCCGCTAGACGCCCAGCAAGCGCTCCAGTCCGGGTTCCCTTTTCCACCGCTGCGGTGCGGCACAGCCATATAGGGAAGGCGGGATGGAGAAAAGCATTCCACCCCCGCCGCTCCCAGCATCCGCCCACTTGGCTGTGAACTTGAGCCAGCGGAGGCTAGCCGGGTCCCGGTTCTGGGCCTCCAGAGGTGCCTAAACCCCGAGAAGATCCTCTAGAAGGAGTGTAAACCTACCCCTACTGCCTTCACCCTTCACTCTGTAAATTGGCACCCGCCTCGCGCGGTGGCAGCCGCCCAGAGGACTCGAGGCAGCGCGCTGGAGACGCACGCCGGCAGGGAAGCGGGCAAGCCCGAAGGGAGCGGCGGCGCTGCCCAGCTTCCTCCCGCCCCTCGTCAGCCTTTCCGCGCGCGCTGCTTGGCCTCCTCTCCCCCAACCAGGGAAGCGGATGCAGAACCAAGCAAAGGCGGTAATCCCAAGAGGCGGCGAGGACAGAAACCCTTCTGCGCGCAGGGCACCGCGCAGCAGATGCAGGGTGGGGATGGGCAGAGGAGAAATCGCCGGCACCGATTTCGTCCGCGCCCTTCCCGCGCGTGGCCTTCCTCTTCACCGGCAATTTACCTTGGACCAGGCGCCTCCGGAGCTGCGGGTGGAGGCGCAGAGCCGTAGCCCGCAGGAGAGGAGTTTGATAGCCGCCATCTTCCGGTCCCGCTGCGGGAGGACTTAGCAGGCTGGAGCGCGCGAGCGAGGGTGCAAACGCTGGTTGCCGGGGCTGCCGCGGCGTCACGGGAAAAAAAGAAGCGAAGGCGCGCGGGGGGCGGGCTGGAGGCTCGACCACGCGTCGCTTACGTCCTCCGGGCCTCCTGCGCGTCGCCTCCCATTGCCGGCTGCAGATATCGGAGAAGTGAGGCTGGGAGGGGCCTCAGCCCAGAGTGGAGACTTGCACAGTCTGCGCGGGTCGCAGGGAAGGGCCCGGGGTCCCGGTGCATTTGAGGCAGCGGTGTTGACGTTCACTTGCTGCCGCAGTCCTTAGGTCAGCGTTTTAGCTTTGAGCGGACGCTGGTGTCTGCTTTCCTGTGGGTCCAGGATAAGACTTGGCCCAGGTTTCCAGCTTGCCCTCGAGACACCTGCAGCTACTCAACCGCCTGGACAGTCTTACCATTTTAATATTTCTCAGCCCCTTTTCACCACTAATTGCCCTGGCTTGTGCAAAGTAAGTTTGCTCTGGGAACGAGTTGTCAAGAGATGTGACCAGGCAGACCTTCAGAAGGACAAGATTATAACTGGGCCCTTGTTCCCCATTATCCAAGTCTGCATGTTTTAAGATCTTTCTGGCAGTGGAGCCCCAGCAATCCAGAGAGACATAACAGATGCAGACATAGAGGTGTGTGTCCCTTTGATTGATCTTAACCTGTTACATAACTCTCCTAAACTCTCCTGTATTCTCAGGTCCAAATTGGAATTGCTTTATAATACTCAAACTGTCAAAGGTTTATATGAGGTCATTCATGCAAAGCTTCTGATACATTGTGAGCACAAAGTAAATGTTAGGCATCATACTCAATTTATTCCAATTACAATGGTTGATTGGCATGGCACAAACATACTCTCCAAATCTTATCTTTTGACCAGTTCCTTAAGGGCATGGGCCAAGTCTGTTTTCTTCAGAACCACCTATGCATTCAGCAGAATGGAAAGATCAGGTGGAAGCTCCATAAACTGTTTAGGGAATTAAAGGCTGACCAAGTCCTGAGAATATGGCTGTTAATTTTGAACATTTTGCAAACACACAAGAAAATCAAATGAGACTAGCTTCCTTGGGAAAATATACCAAAATAATGAACAATGAACAATCCAGTTTAAAAATAGAATCTGTCCATATAAGCATTTTATGCTATTCTTTTAACTATGAACTCTTTTTCCCTGTGAATATTATTTTTAATCAAAATCAATCTGGAAATGAAAAACCAAGTTCAACTATCCATTTAAATTGGAGAAAATAACAGTAGTGTTTGATATTTCAACACATTTTCAATTAATTGTATTAAGAGGAAATTCAAAAATTAGAACTGAATTGCATAATTAGTCCTAATACAGCATATAGCAGCTATTGTAATGCAATTTACAGGTTGTGAAAAAGCTAACATTCCAAATGAGTCTGCTTTTCCAATTTTCCCTTCCACAGGCACATGAAATGGAAAAAAAAAAAAAAAAAAAAAAGCATTGGCAATTCTCTCCACCATCATATGACTTGCCCTTGGCTGGTCTCACTCCATTGCTTCTGGCTGAGGAAGACACATATTTAAATCTGTATTCTGTATAACTAAGTCTCCTAAGAAAATCAGCCTTACTGTATAGTTAGAACACACTGGACTACATTTTTTGATGACTCAATATCTTCATTTTCCTCTTTTTCAGCAGTATGAGTGTCTTAAACCTGAACAAATTATAGAAAAAAATGCTGTGTACCAATATCACTTCTAGTTCCACAAAAAATTAATAATAATAATTTTAATCCATGTGTAAAATTCTACTTCTTTTAAATCTCTGACTATAAGAACATTTGCCCTTTTCTTGGAAAGGCAGTTTATGGTAACTATATATTCTGGAAACTTTTCCCTGTAGAGTTTTGCAAGGCTTACCTTCTGCACTCTTAAACAACTGGGAGAATTACATTCTGAATCTTTAAATAAAAGGTCTGATCCCAAACAAGCAATGAGGAAATGAGGGAAGTTTATTTTGTATTGCGTTATGTTTGTATATGTGCATGGCACCTTCTTATCAGATGAATGCAAACAGTGTGTCAGTTATATTGTAAATAATTTTCTTCTTGAGAGATTTTGTTTTGATTCTAAATAATGATGCATTAATATTTCTCATTATTGAAAGATAGGACATCTTGACCTTATAGTTAGTTAACAGTCTATTCTTCCAATGATAATCAGGATAATCTGAAGACTTGTTTTTCAAGTGTTGGTTGACTGGCTTAACAAGTAATAGGAATTTTTCATCTAGGCCTTTTGACTAAGTTACAAAAATACATCCATGCTTTGTTTTATACAGTGGTCCTTTAATAAATGGAAAACAAATTACTTAAAACAATTATTTAAAGCAATTTTCCTCCAGTAACTTTGAAAGACATAAATCTGAAGTTTTACATGTCTGTAAATGTAAGTGTTGTTTTATAATGCAAATCATTCCTTAATTTGCCTAGTTTATAAGCTTGTTATTTTTATAGATTTTTGAAGCAATAATGTGTACTTAATATTTGTTCAAGGAATAGATAAAAAAATTATTTGAATTTTTTAAATTGTAGTTTTATCAGAAAAAAAATGCATGGTAGTCAGAGAATTCTCAACTTCTGGAATGAAAGTGAAAATTAAGATGGTATGGAAACTTACAGGAGCAAAACATACCAGAGTGATTGAGTATACATTCAAATCTGATTGCATTGTACTTTCAATGTTTTCTCCCACTGTCTTTGAGAGCCAAAGTCTATACTTCTTAATATGGTATAAAAAGGAATCAGCTCTCCTGGTCTTTCTCCCTGACACAACCTCTGATTTATAATCCAAATTGTCTGTGCCTCTGAATTTTTACATGATGAAAACAACTTCAAAATTACATGTTAAAACAAAATGATTAAAAAAAAAAAAAACCATAGACTCAATAGCTAATCAAATCCCAAGTTCTGTGTTCCCTAGTTACATGGTTCCCTATGGTAAAATAGTTAAAGAGAACTTGCAGAATGTCAAGATATAGGACAATATCTATGCCAGTATTTGTTTGTACTATGGACATGTTAAAAGATTATACCTTGTGAATTTATTTCATAAAGGCTGTCCATCTGTTCTTGCTGCTAGAAAAAAAAATACCTTAGTCAGGGTAACATAAACAGAAATTTATTTCTCAAAGTTCTAGAGACTAGAAAGTCAAGATACCAATAGATTCAGTGTGCTACACTAAATTAAATTTGGTCTAAAGCTACCTGTGTACTTTGAGTTTTTACCTAGAAAACTGTAGTGTAATTGAGGAATATATTCTCATGACAAATAACTGAATCCCAGTCAATCACAGCAGCCAAAGGTAATAAGCCAATCAGGCTGCCAAATGATCAGACCATTTTCCCATGAGGCAAATGACCCATCACACCATGCCCCACCAAAAGACAAATGCTGATCTGTAACCAAACAAGCTGTTTCTGTGTGGCTCTTCCACTTTCTATCTAGAAATGGTGCCTGCCCACGTTGCTTGGAGAAGCTCTCTGATCTACTGCTGGTTCAGAGTGCTGCCTGATTCATGACTTGGTCTTTGCTGAAATTAACTCAGCTTAATTTAATTTTTCTAAAGTTTCTGTTAACAGGTATCTGGTGAAGACCTATTCTTCATAGAGAGCACCCTCTTTGTGTCTGTACACTTCAGAAGGGGCAAACAGCTTCTTCTCACCTCTTTTATAATAGCACTGATTCCATTCATGAGGACTCCACCATTCTTATACTCTGGATATGGACTATCCCCTCAAAAGCTCCTGTTAATGCAGCAATATTAAGAGGTAAGATGATTAGATTATGAGAGCTGTCACCTAATCAACCCATCCTGGTTTGTACGAACTGACTGGGTGGTAACTGTGGGGGGATGGGGGAAGCGCCTGGAGGAGGTGGATCACCAGGGACTTGCCCTGAAAGGTTGCATCTTTCCTGTGGTCCCTTCCCCGCCCTTCCACCTGACCCTACCATAAGTGAGCAACTTTCCTCTGCTGGGCCCTTCCCCCATGATGTGCTGTCTTATCTTGGCCCCAGAGCAATGGAGTTGGCTGAATATGGGCTGAGTCCTCTGAAACCCTGAGCGCCCCCAATTTTTCTCCTCTCAGTTGTTCTTGTTAGGTGTTGTTGGTCACAGCAACACAAAAACTGACAAAAACAACCCTCATGACTTCAACATCTTCTAATGGCTTTAACTTTTAATACTATCACATTGGGGATTAGGTTTCGACTTCTGATTGCAGAGGTGGGAAGATATTCAGACCGTATCAGATGCTTTCTCTTCTTTCATACTCTGGAAAACATTAGGCAGGATTCAAACCCTGTACTGTATGGAATTAAAGACAGCTATTATCTTTACATGTCCCACTTTCTCAGATAGCTTTGACTCTGACTCCAATTTTCCAGTTTCCAATAATTCTGCACTAATTCAGAACTCAGCTTCAGTTCCTCTAATCTGGATTATTATAATCCCTTCCTAAATAAATGTCCCTTTTCCTCAAATATAACCATCTTTAAATTATCATTTCAAACACAGTCCAGTCTTCACACATCATTTTCTAAAATATTTCAAAATATCTTCATCAATTGCAAGTTGAAGCCCAACATCTGATCATAGCCAAGATTTTTTAAAATATGGTCTCTGTACCCTCTAACCATGAAGGCTGAGCAGAGGTACTTTAGGACCTCCACATTTGAAATTAGATTAATTTATCTTTTAACTATTTTTTTTAATTTCTTTTAACCTTTTCTTCAACTCCAGCAAAGAAGTAGCATGTACACTGAATTATAATTTGTCTCTAATTTTAACATATTAAAGGTTACCAAATTGTTCAGCATGTTGACTTGATTAAGTTTGAAAACATATAATATCTGGATGTTCTGGTCACACACATATACTTCTTAACATGATTTCTCATCACAGCGTAGTATTTTTTCAACGGGCACATAGAACACTCATAATAACATACTATAGAGAGTTTTAGAGGATAATTTTAATTTGGGTAATTCCTTTTTTATGAAAGTCATATTTTCCATTTCCATATGTAAATGCATATACAGGTTGAATATTCCCTATTTAAGATGCTCAGGACCAATTTTGGTAATTCTTGTCTGACATTTATATATGTCAACAAGAGATGTTGATGTTATTGATTTTTAACCATTGAAGCAAACATTTCCTGCTACTTTTCTCTGAAGCTTATGATCTTTATTAATTGAAACATGCCCTAAAAGTCTAGGGCAAACTACAGTATGAAACAGAATTTTCTTGACATTCTTGTAGCTGAACAGATGGAAAATAAGAAGCAATCCATCATATATAACCCCACAGTTGCAATTTTTTAAGTATTCTTTTTTTAAAAAAATATATTTATTTTTTAGTTGTAGTTGGACACAACACTTTTATTTCACTTGCTTATTTTTGTACGTGGTGCTGAGGATTGAACCCAGGGTCTCGCACGTGCCAGATGAGCACTCCACTGCAGAGCCACAACCCAGCCCCTGGTTGCAATTTTTTATCAGAAGAGTTTTAATATTCCCATTGATTCCATTTGTAACAGGAAAATGCTTCACAATTAAAATGCTAAAATACTTTTAAAATATAAAATATAACTTTTATCTATTTTATATGTTGGGGTTCTAAATAGAATTTTAATTGAAAGAATGGCCCTTCTTAAATATGTTTGAAAAAAAATGACTAGCTAGATCAGCCTACTTTGTTCCCTGCACACACCAAGGAGTTCTGCCACAGTCTTTGCTCATGCCTTTTCCTGTGTCAGCTGAGCAAATTCCTACTCATTTTTCAAGACTCAACATCAAATGTCACTCCTCTGTGGAGCTTGACAGCTCTTACCCCAAACTCTATCCCCTAAAGTATTAATTTCTTCTACTCCATGTTCTCAGGGCCCTTTGTCACAAAGATAATGAGCTTTTCAAGGGCATGCTTGTTCCTTTTTATATCCAGTGTCCTGAGATTAATGCTAATCATAGAGCAGATGTTCAACAAAGGCCAATTGTGTTGACTTGATTTGAGTTGCCCTTTTCTCTATCCTAATATAAGCCATCAGCTTTACTGTGTCTTCCAGCTCAATTATTTAGAATGAAAGTTTCCTCTCTGATCATGATGTGACAATAGTAATCATTACTTCTGCATTCTCTTTACAGTTTCTTTTGTGCCCACCACCATCTCCTTGGCTTTTCTGCTGTAGGGTAGTTCTTGTCTGGAGCCTCCTGTTCACAAGTGCCACTGGCTGACCTCTCCCCACAGAGAACCAGCAATCAAAGGATATGAGTTCAATAGGCACAGTCAGATTGTTTTATACTTCCCTATTTGACTCCCAATGGACCCTCTGTTTCTTTCATTATTATTTTCTTGCCTTCTTTTGAACATTGGATTTGGCTGTCTTTTTCACAAGAAGTAACTGAAACCTAGTGCAATTTATTGGCAGCACCCTCCCACTGGTAATGCTAGAAAACAGCCATTAATGCCTACAAATAATACAATTCAAGAAATGCTGCCAAGACATTGTGACACCTTTTATTTATTTCCATATCATATTTCACATTTATGATGAGAATATAAAGGAGGTCACTTATAAATATCAACCAAAGGAAAACAATTCATTACATTATGATGACCATCTTGAAATACTTTGTTGCTACCACAAAAAAAGTTAAAAAATGTGTGGAAATATTTAGGCTAGACATAAAAGGCAGGATTCAAATTGTATTATGTAATGATCACAACCATATGTTAGATATTTTCACATAAGAACTGAGAAGGACTATAAAAAAATGTGGAGTGGAAAACATTATGATGGGAGCAGGATTTTGAGTTTTTCTCTCATTATTTAAAATATCGTTCAGCTTTTACTTAACTTTTAAAAGCATTAGGCAGACAGTTTGAGTGTAAGAGTGCTGAATATCCATTTCAGGATCTTCAAAGAGGCATTTGCTTGCCTGTGTTCATTGCAGCATTATTCACAAAAGCCAAGATGTGGAAACAACCTAAATGTCCATCCGTGGTTGAATGGATAAACAATGTGGTATACACTTACAATGGAATACTGTTGAACCTTAAAATAGAAAGGAATCCTGCCATTTACGACAACGTGGATGAACCTTGAGGATATCCTAAGTGAAATAAGCCAGTCACAGAAATACTGTTTGATTCCACCTATATAAGGTATCTGAAATAGTCAATCTCTGAAAACGGAGCAAAATAGGAGAAGGAGAAATGGGAAGTGATATTTAACAAGTATATATTTCAGTTATATAAGAAGAATAAATTCTAGAGATCTGCTATACCATGCTGTATCTAGTTTATAATACTTATTGCACACTTACAAATCTGTTAAGAGGATAAATCTAGTGTTAAGTTTTCTTACCACAATAAATATAATTGATTATACACACACACACACACACACACACACACACACACAAACATGTTGTGTTTGTAAATTTTGCCTGCTCTACTCTCAAGCTGGGAAGTCAGGGGATTGTTTCAGGAGATTAGAGACTATGTTTCACATCACCCATATTGTTTGTTTCAGCTGTCAGGGCAGGAAATAGAACAGGATAATCTTCATTATGATTTAAATCTCAGCATCTGCCCTTAGAAATGTGTTGAAGGCTTGGTCACCAGCCTGTGGTGCTATCAGGAGGTGGGGAAACCTATAAGAGGTGGGACAAGCAGAATGACATTCAGTCATTGGGGATGGAAACTTGAGAGGGATATTGGGACCTTGGTCCCTTGTGTCCCTTTACTTCCTGGCCACCATGAGATGAGAAGCTTTGCTCCACCACATATTCCCTACCATGATTTTTTGCCTCACTGCAAGCCCAAAGCAATGGGCTCAGAAACTATGGACTAAAATGTTTAAAATTGTGAAGCAAAACAAGTTTTTAAGTTGATTCATTTCAGGGATTTTGTCACAGCAACAGAAAGCTTACTAATACAAACTTCTAATATGCCCGTCTCCGTAGATGAGTGAAGGCAGCAGCCTTCAATGAAATGAAACCATTACATTAGGAAACAAAATGATCAACAAGATAAAAATCTCCTCACTTGAAATCCTCCGTGGACATTAGCCAGTGATAGTAGTTTTGAGTTGTGGCTTGAAATATTGTCAGACACTCATCACATCCACATATAGTTTCCTAATTACCTCATAGTTACTCTTTTAGAAATTTGTTCATGTCTGACAAAAATACTTTTGGTTGTTAAAAAATAGTAGCATTAACTAAGCTACTGGCTAGTCTAAGAACATAATAACCCTGAAAGTATTGAAGTGCTATCTACTGCAATGTAACTGAGAAAAAGAAGTGCTGTGGTCTGAATGTTTATGTCCCTTCAAATTCATATGTTGAAATCCTCAATTCCAAGGCAATGATGTTAGGAGGCCAGGCCTTGGAATATGTTTTGTTCGTAGTGGAGTACTTTCATGATGGGACTTGTGCTCTTACTATGCCCTTATCACCAAATCTACCACCATATCTTGATCTGGGACTTCCCAGCTTCCAGAACTGTGGAAAATAAATTTCTACTATCTAAAACCCATCCAGTTTATGTTATTTTGTTTTAGCAACCAGAATGACCATGATATGTTCTATGACAGAACTTACAACCAATGTCTAATGACCACATGTGGAAGAAAGGCAAAGTAAATTTTAATGGGTAATATTCAGACTCCATTCCTCACTTTGGAAAATAACGTTGAAAGGAAAATTGGTTCTAGAACAATATCTTAAGACTGTTATGATTCATCACACTCTTGATTCTCTTTATGTTCTAGAGTAGTAGTCTACTATCAAACCAGGATTCTTTTGCCCACTGCACTGTATGCCAAATGCTAAAATGATAATTTTTGCAAAAGAAAATAATGTGGCTTCATGTGAGTAGGGAAGCTGCCAGACTCAAATCTTCCTCCCCAAGAATATGATTTAGGGATTATTTATTGGATAAAGAGACACGGTGTTGTGAGCGGGGGAAGGATGATTGGAGGAAAGGAAAGGTGATGCAATGCTTGGTCGGAGTTTGTGTATCTAAATGTCATGGCTCTGTGTAGGAGGCATGTTCAGAAATGGCAGTATTGATAGGATACAAGTGGAGCTTTTTGTCCTCTGATATCCAAAGATCCTTCATCAGACACCTGTGCAGGCCCACACAAAGGGTTTGGTGCTTTCCACCACCTTAAGCCATCCCTAATAAAACCAAACAATCGTTACCAAAATGACCATGCATCAGAGGGATTATTTATAGTAAAGCTAACAAGTAAACAACAAAGTTGTTTACTTAAACACTTCTTTTTTTTTTTTGAGAGAGAGAGAGAGAGAGAGAGAGAGAGAATTTCAATATTAATTTTTCAGTTTTTGGTGGACACAACATCTTTGTTTGTATGTGGTGCTGAGCATGGAACCTGGGAGCACGTATGCCAGGCGAGCGCGCTACCACATGAGCCACATCCCCAGCCCCTTAAACAACTGCTTAACCAGTGATAAAAACAAGTATCTAAAAAGAAGTGAGGCTAAGGATGTATTCAGGTTCTCTCGGAGTTTGAAAACAGAGAATAAGCTCCTTGGTTTTTAAATTTCTTAATTGAAGAGGGAGAATGGCTAAAGCTCTTAAATAAAGTGGAAAAATCCATTAATTTAAATATGGGGACTTGGTTATAGAGTAAATATATATTTGAAGCTGTACCCTACACATACAGGCATATATAGGTGTGTATGTTTTAAAAACTAAATACAATACAAACTAAACACAGTATTTGTTTAGAGACCAATTAGTCTATAGACTAATTATTAAATGCTTTCTTCAATGTGCATTGTGCTAAGGGATAGGGATTGTATTGTGCATAAGACTGACAGACATGGTCCTAGACCTCCTGAAGTTTACAAACACACTCCCCACCCCCGTCAAAAGACAAACACCTAAAAATATAAATGGACATGTTATATAAGAAGTGAAGGGGCTGGGGTTGTGGCTCAGTGCTGCTCACCTAACAGGTATGAGAAACTTGGTTTGATCCTCAGCACCACATACAAATAAATAGATAGATAGATAGATAGATATAGATAGATAAAGGTATTGTGTGATCTACAACTAAAAAGTATTTAAAAAATAAGTGAAAATAACACTACAAGAAGAGATCGTCAAACTCAATAGTAATCAGTGAAATGCAATCTCAAACAGCGAAATACCAATTTTTTGTTCATTAGGTAAATATTATAAAAATGAATAATAGTGTAGCCAAGGATATACAAGAAAGAGAGCCATCATGTTTTGAAAGGCAAAATGTCAAATGTTAAATAAACATTCCTTTAGCATATTATATATTTACTATGTGATTGCTGAGGGCCATTGCCAAGTAGGAATGACGCATCGAAATTTCCTTGCCAGCATACCCCATGTTGCTTAGAGGAAGGACTTGTGGAAATGGACTTGCCTTGGACATTCGCTGTGACATTGCATGTATGTTTGAGAAAGGTGATCCTGCTCAAGGACCAGGGTGGATCCAGGTTTAGGGTGTATCCTGCAGGTTTTAGGAAGTATCCCGCTCCTTGGGTTTAGGGCGTTCCCGGTTTAGGACAATTTGGGTTTAGGACGTTCAGGTTTAGGATTCCTGCTGGGAATAGGGCATATCCTGCTGCCTGAGTTCCCGTTGAGTTCCCGTGGAATTCAGAAAGTTTTGGGGATTAAAAGCCTGGTGGAGTACGTGAATTTTGCTGGAGAACTTGGATTTCTCCAGAACATGTGTAGAGGCCGGTGTGAGTTCGGGAATAAAGAATTGCTGTTTGAATCTACAAGGTGTGTGGTGGCTCGTGATTCTGTGCCCAGCCAGACTGCGGCATGTGATAATACACAGCAGTTAAAAAGATGAGAGGGATCTACATGTCCATTTAAGAAAACTATACTAGGATATAGAATTATAAAAAGGAATTGAACTGCAGAACAATGTGCGTGATATAATTCCATTTATGAAAAAAGGATGAACCTAGATTATATATTGGTTATATTTTCATGGAAACTCATTGAAAAAATGTGAAAGAAAAGTAAACTGTTAATGATTATATTTATATGAGGTTGGCAAGAGTTTGAAGTGTAAAAAAGTTTTAAATTTTTCAACCTATATGCTTTACATTTTTTAAATTTCTGCTTATTTAATTGAATATTATATAGGTAGTGTTTACAGTTAATAATAAACCAACAATTATCTGGAAATTTCTTAAACTTTTTAATTTCATGGACTCAGCAATATTAAAAAGGATGATTCATTTCAGTATCTTTAAGAATCCAAAAATCAGGGTCTGGGGTTGTGGCTCAGTGGTAGAGTGCTCATCTAGCATGTGCGAGCGCTGGGTTCGATCCTCAGCATCACATAAAAATAACTAAAATAAGGGCAATTTGTCCAACTCGAATTAGAAAAAATATTTTTTAAAAAATACAAAAATCAAACAAGGAGAGAAATGAAATACAGTAGATGGGGTAGAGAGAGAAGATGGGAGGGGAGGGGAGGGGGGATAGTAGAGGATAGGAAAGGTAGCAGAATACAACAGTTACTAATAGGGCAATATGTAAAAATGTGGATGTGTAACAGATGTTATTCTGCAATCTGTATTTGGGGTAAAAATGGGAGTTCATAACCAACTTGAATCTAATGTATGAAACATGTTATGTCAAGAGCTTTGTAATGTTTTGAACAACCAATAAAAAAATACAAAAATCAGATTAAAATCTTATGATTCTAGTTATGGAAAAAAGTTGCTTTAGTTTGTGCATAAATGTCTAGAATATTCATAGAAATTTTAATAGTGGTTACTTCTATTTTATATAACTTTTACTTTATTGCTTATACCTTATAATCATTAATCTTTTTTATTTCATTGTGAATGAAAGACAAGTCATTTCTATCTCTCTATTTAAAATATTTATTCCCCAGAGAGGTGATTAAAGCAGTTTTAAAATTTCTAGTCATTAGGCATTTGTGATACAGTAGATTTTCTTGCCACCCAGCAAAACTACAGGAATAAGTGAGATATATTGTATTTTTCAAGGGAATAGGAATCTAGTTTTTAAAGAATTATTTTTTTACATTTCTTAGAAAAGAGATAGAATTTAATAATTTTGACTGAATAGAGAATAGACGAAGTATAAATCATATTAAAATAATGCACCAAGCACTAAACATATAGCAATAACAAATGGGGAAAGGGGCTGGAGTTGTGGCTCAGTGGTAGAGCACTTGCCTAGCTAGCACATGTGAGGCACTAGGTTATATCCTCAGCACCACATAAAAATAAATAAATTAAATAAAGGTATTGTGTCCATATACAACTAAAACAAATGAATTAAACAAATGGGAAAGAGTGTAGGAAACCCAAGCTGCTACAATTATCTAAAATGTTCAGTTTTCAACAAATAATTATGAAACACCCAAACACACAGGAAAGTAGATCCCCTACATTGGGGCAGAGGGGTGTGGTAGATGGGGCAGGAAGCAGGCAACAGAAACTGAATGTGAGACTGACCAGAAATGAGATTTCATTACTAGTCATCACAAATGGTTTAAAGAATTAAAGGAAACAATGACTAAAGAAGTAAATTGTACTGATGTCACACCAAACAGGTTATCAGTAAGGAGTCAGAAACAATAAAGGACAGTGAAATGAAAATACTGTAATTTAACAGTATAGCTTGAATAAAAATTTATAGGAGCTTATCAGTACATTTGAACTGGTAGAAGATAAAATTTGCACATTTGAACAAAGATTAATAAACATTCTGCAACTCACAAAACAGAAAGAAAAAAGAATGAAGAACACTGAGTAGAACCTCAGAAAAAATATGAGAACTAATAAGCACAACAACATATACATGAGGGGAGTACCACAAAAAGAGGAGAGAGAAAATATAATAATTCAAAGAAATAATGGCTGGAATATAGCAAATGTATTGAAAAATAATTTGAACAATCAGAAAGCTCAATGAATTCTAAGTAGGAATAATGCACACATCCACAAATAGACAAAGCAAAATAAAAATAATTAAACTCAAGACAGAGACAATATTAAAGATATCAAGAGAAGAATGACATATTTCTGTAAGATGAGCTGACTTGTCAGTAAAGACAGTAGAAGCCAGAAGATAGTGGAATAACATATTCAAAGTACTTACTCAAAGGAAAAAAAAGTCAACCATAAATCCTATATCCATCAAAGCTACCTTTCAATAATGAAACTAAAAAAAAGAACTTCTCCCAATAAAAAAAATTCTGTTACCAGACTCGCCTTACAAAAAATAATAAAGGCAGTTTTTCATGTTGAAACCAAGTGACACAGACAGTAACCAGGAGAAAATAATTTCAAATCACACATCTCATAAGGCACTTGCTTTTAGAATACAAAGAATCATTACAACTCAATAATAAAAATATCAGTAGACTAATTTTAAAATTCACAAAGGATCTGTACAGTTATTTTTCTAAAGAAAATACATAAAAGGATAATAAACACATAAAAGGTACTCTGCAAAATTTTTCATCAGGAACATTCTCATAA